AAAACCCAAAATTCTTCATACTAAATAATCGTTGGCTTCACCCATATATGTAATACTTCTATATTGACAGTAAGCTAACATCTCAATGTGTAATCATTCCGAAATCAAAGCGAGACAGTCTAGTACCGTTTTTGTCAATGTATTGTGTACTTGAGTGCCGTTTTTGTATATGTGTTGTGTACATGTCTATTTATAAACGTATGTGTTCCTTTTCTTTCGTACGTGTTTACTGATATATCTGTACTGTAGTGTTTTCGGACGGTACTAGCTCTTACTGCCAATATAGAAGTATTACATATATGGCATCACCTTCGTTTGCCTAATTTTTTGGAACAAGTCTAGAATAGCAACCGTTTGGCTATTAAATAACCAAAACCGCCGATTGATACAACTTTTTACGCTGATTTCAACGATACTAACCCCCTTATTCTAGAACCCGAATTTTCGTAATGCGTAATTCGTAGCTACGCTACGAAAAACGAAAAATCCACATGCTGCAACCCTTGCGGAAACATGTGCAGCATTGCCAGCTATCAGTTGTTTTTCGAAGATAGCTGAATGAAGGAAAACAAAGTGGATAGGAATTAAAAAAACACTCATCTTGTGCTTGTTTATTGTAAAGTTGGTTAATTTTAAATATTTTGAGGAAAATTATGGATTCTGATGTATTGCAATTATAGCAGCAGAGTAAGCGGGCGCTATGGCAATGGATTCACAAAGGTATGCGGCGCTGTCGGGCATAGTAACCATGGGCGCATCTATGTCAGCTTCTGGTTGAATTGTTGAACCACAAGCCAGAACTCCTCCTATGCCTGAAGCTCTGGTTCTCAATCCAGTTAATGCAATAACAGCTTTTTCCAAGCCATTGGAAACGTGCACTTTGTTAGGTCCACCACCTGTTGCGCTTGCTTCTGCCTTCGGCCGCGCTTAGGGATTATAACCCTTACTAAGTAGAATTCTCCTTTCTGTGTTGCGGGGAAGAGGGGCTTCCGCATGTCAAAGGTTTACAACATTTCTTGTGCATATCACTGCGGCTACGCCGTCCACGCGCAGAACCCACGTCGAAATTTGCAAAAAAAGTGCATAGTGCAAACCGAGTTTATTAATAAACTAGTGGTAGGAAATTTGAAACATTTATCTTAAATAAAATGTGAATCCTTTGATTACACGTGTATGTTAAAGTTTTTGGATTCGGGTTGTGTGTTTGGACACAACAACCGAAAATCGTTGTACATTAACTAAACCAACCCAAGTTTCTCGATAAGGGGCAACCAGTATTATTTTTGGCTTGTTTATATAAAGCAGTGGATAAAAATATACGTATATGCGAAATGAAAATTTATCTGTTTAAATGAACACCACCAATATTTCTTGCAAACACACATCGATTTACATCTTTCATTTCGCCTCCGTCACAGAATTATTTTCGTACAAAATTACGCAAAAAAAGCTTACTCGTTCGTTTTTAGGCATGCCATTGTTACGAATTTCGAAAGTTCGAAAATACGATTCGGATTGCAGAATACTATTTCTACGATTCGTAGCAAAATCCGAATACGAAAGAGTTGCAGAATAGGGGTGTAAATTTATAAAATAAAGAAGATATAAGAGGTTTATTTGCTTTGTTTGTTTATATTTTTTATTATCACTAAATTCTTGAAACCCAAAAGTAGATCATGATAAAATATGCGTATCGAATTAAAGTTAATAACTGGTACTTTCTAAATAGAATACATTTCTTTGCCATTAATTATGCAGTTTTTTCAAAAAAGGTTATTTCATGAAAAAATAACATTTGTTCGTTTTTTAGTGGTTTTAGTTTGAAAATATAAAAAAGCATATAAATATAATATATGGTGACGTCATCAGTATTTTAATCGGTTATGTAGTTCATACGATATTAATATTTAAAATAACAAAATATTTAAATTTAACCTTCTAGAAAGTCTTTATTTTTTACTTGCACCGAATAATTTTACAATGGTTGAAATTAGCGTAAAAAGTTCTACTGATCTGTATTTTCGTTTTTGCATAACTGAACGGTCGGAAATGACAATTATAATTGTATATTTATACGTATTGTTTAGCATTTCCATTAAACCGCCAAATATACTGAAAATTCACATAGAAATAATAATACACATTTTACTTCTAATTTTATACTTTGCGTACTTTTTTTTTAGCATCTTTCTACTACCGTTTTCGTAAAAGGCGATCACATTCTTCCCCTTTCTCCTACTTCCAAAATACAAATCTGGATAAAGGAGTGTCAAATTTGAGCTGTCACAAATTACATAACCTTGTATTATTGAATCATGATCACCGCTGAGTATCACATGATCAATCAAATGACTATCATTGTTCTTGTAGGGGAGTATATCCTGCCGGACCAGTGTTGCCGTTTTAGCCCTTTGGTAGCTAGATTTAGCTACCACATACTTTTTTGGCCACATAAATTTTAAATTGCCCCTAGCCCTTTCTTACCCCTTTGGAAAATTTATTCATACTT